GTCTAATAACACCCCGTTGTTTGCACGATGCTTCCTCCGCGCCTTCTGTTCTCTTGGTTTCTGTGAGCTGGAGGGGGGGCTGATTGTCCCCCCAAAGCCCTGAGAGGGATGGGCAGCCCTGTGCTGGGCCCCCTGGACTTCACAATGGCCAGGGGGCAGTAGTGGATGAATCAGCCCCTGAGCCCTCTCTGGCATCCTCTGCCCGCCCAGCACTGCTCCCTCAGAAGTTCAGCCCCCAAGGGGGCAGGGATTGGGCAGAAGGAGGAATGGCCTGCCTCACCACACATGTATGACCGCTGGCTTCTTAGACTTGGTATCACAGCTCTACTGACTCCTGGGTCTAGGAGATTCTCAGCTCAGGGACCCAGGTTCAAAGGATGTACTCCACTCAGATCACTGGGTTCAGCTGCACCTTTGGGAAGCTCAGGGTGAGGACCCTAGTAGACCAGCATGAGAGGAGCTGAAAGTTTGCTATGCCCCCTTCTCCACCTGTTGTCTGTAGTACCCCAAAGCCTCTAGACCTACCAGATCTACTGGGGCAGGACAGAGATACCTAGGCAACTCTGGGACAGGGTACACCGTCTCATCAGTGGAGGGCACAGCAGAAAGGATGCCCAGTCCTCAAACCGATTCCTCCTCCCTGGGAGCCCAGACCACTGCATCCAGTCGGGGTGCAGCTGACTTGGAATGTTGGAAGAAAATCCTTGGGGCTTTGCTCCTCCCCCTCCTGACACCCAGCCCCCCAGTCCTGTTGTGGTTGCCCACAGATTTGGAACTGGCTCTGTGTGGTGGGACACAAGTGCGAGGCCCAGTCTTTGCCACATCATGGGCAGGGTCAGCACTGGCTCCAATTCTGCACATTGTGTGGATTTGAGGCCTGGAAGCTACAGCACCTCTACCTATCTTACCACCCAAACCTGCTGCCATAGTGAACTCTGATTAATCATGACCCCCAAGGAGCAGCTGGCGGGTTTGAACTGCCAACCTCACGACTATAATGACACACACAGTCAACAGCCCCAGCCACTGAGCAACTTCAGGGTCCATTCCAACTAGCACCCATTCCAGTCGTTCAGCTTTGTATGGGGATGACCACCGCTGATTGGCCCAGGGCTGCCTGTTAAGCCAGGGCAGCCACTGATTGGTTTGTGAGGAGCGAATCAAGTCTTCTCCCTCGGGGTAATGCCCAGGAGGCCCTGGGCATATTGGAAGAAACTTACTCAAGGGGCAGAGATGGCAGCTTCATTGTGACTTTTAATTGTTTACATAGTTAATTCCACACTGAGTTTTACCTCATTTTAAAATATATCTGTTTTCAAACAGAGAGTGAGAAATTACATCGTATCTGCTCAGATCCGTGGAGAATTGGATTTCAATTTCTGATCCCAAGCCTTACCTGCCCTGCTTCCACCGAAAATCTCCATTCAGGGCAGCCACGCGGCCACGTGCTGGATTCAGACAGGAATCCAGAGAATTCCTTCCCTGCTCGGAGCCCGGGGGCCCCCTTCAGGTGGCAGGTGGTTCTGCGAGCTCCGGAGACGGGGACTCCAAAGGCCAGGCTTTCTGCACCCACAAAACGACAAGTCTCAGAAACCCTGTGCGATCCGGCTGGGGTCGACTGCATGGCAGGGAGCTCGGTTTCCTTAGTCAGGCGGTGCAGTGGCTACTAGTCGGACTGCTAACCTCAAGGTCAACAGTTTGAAACCACCGGCCACTCTGAGGAAGAGAGACAGGGGTTTCTTTTTATAATAATTTGATTGGGGGCTCTTACAGCTCTTATCACAATACATGCATACATCCATTGTGGCAAGCACATTTGCACATTTGTTGCCATCATCATTCTCAAAACATTTTCTTTCTACTTGAGCCCTTGGTATCAGCTCCTCATTTTCCCCTCCCATCCCACTCCCCCTCCATATGAACCCTTGATAATTTATAATTCTTTTCC